CGGCACGACGCAGTCGCCGCCTGCGGAGAACGCCATGGCCTCCGCCATACGTGCCTGGTAAGCCGCCTTCTCCTCCTCCGCCTCCTCCTCCTTGCGCCGCTCCTTCTCCTCGCTTTCACGGAGAGCTGCCACAACCACTGCCTGGTAGGCGGCCTCCGCCTCCTGGTCCTCGTCGCGCACGACGAGGGGCGGCGGCGGGGAGCCATGCGGCATGTCGCAAACGCAGCGCCTCCTGGCCTCCTCGTGCTCGAACGCAAACCACTGCTCCCACGCGGGAGAGTCGAATGTGTAGGCGGGGTCGCGGCGCTACTCCGGTGTCAGTAGCTCCCGCCGGCGCCGCACCTTCTTCGTGTGCGCCCGCGCCGACCGCGGCGCCGTCGACACTTGGATCCTCTCCGGATCCAAGTGCCAGTCGTGTGGCAGCGTGACGTCGGGGTAGGGGAGGAGGCGCGGTGCTCACAATGCTACCTCACCTGGTGCACTAGGACGTTCACGCGCTGCCTAGACCGGCGGGAAGACGCTGGCGGAGGCAGGGGAGAGGGGCGGCGGGGGCCTTGCCCTTGCCTTTGCCGGAGAAGAAACCCATTCGGTGGCTACGGTTTGTCACCGACGAGGGAGCACAGTGGTGGCGAGATGGAGACGGGAGGGGGAAGGGGGTTCTGAAAGCGGATGAGGACGGCCCCCACCGCACGCTTGGATTAAAAAATGCTGACCGCCGTCGGTGACACGTGGGCCTGCGATGGACGGTCTTCAATAATAAAGACGGTCGCAGTAGTTGGGCGGCCGCCGGGTGGGGAGGCGGCAGACACCGAGAGGACGCGTGGCGCGTCCGCGCCGACACATTTCAGCCCCTAATTTGCGCTGCAAATGGGTCCGTGCGGATGCGAAGAGGGCGCGTTTTGCAAATGGATCTGCACGTTGGGCCTGTAATTTTTGCCGCGGTGACCCAAACGAATGGCGGCGGACGAAATGGGTACCTGCGTTGGAGTTGCTCTAACACTATACTGCTACTTTAGGCTACAGAAAATGGTACTCTCAGTATAAAAAAGAGGTCTACAGAAAATGATATTCACTTTTTTTCGAAACAAAAAATGATGTTCATTTAGGGAACAGAAAATGATGTGCATCGACTGTTCTTCAGAAAATGGAGCGTTCAAGCGATGGGCCGTAGAATGAAATATGTTTGTTTTAACAGGATGGCCCAGTACTTGGGCTGCGCAATACTCCACCCCGCTCACGGCCCGCCAATCGGAAATGGGATCCGCTGGCTTTCGGCTGGACAGTGCCATGGACCAAAACGTCAATCGTTTAGCCCCACACCGCCTAGCGAGGTATAGCAGAGCCGGTTTATAATCCGCGCGCTGCTGTCAGACTAGTCCCTCGAGGGACACCAGATAAAATTGAAACAGTATAGCGTGGCATGACCCTGTTTTGTTCGCATAATGATGAGTTGCCGTTTTTTCTTACGGGTGAATCAAGTACAAAGAAAAAAGGAAGAAAGAAAAAGAAATATTCACACAAATCTCAACCTAAGATCAATAACATAGGACTTAGATGTGCAATATTGTTGTCTTACTCCACACGAGTTCAAATGACTTTACAGAAAGGTCAAATTTTACGATTTGAAATTATATTTTATGATGGGTCTAATGATGTCATCGTTGTATCGTGAATGTTAATAATT